GTTTTTTGTTTTTATTACGTTTTTTATAATTGTAGAATGGATTCAATACCTTTATTTATCTTTATGTGGTGCTAAGAATCAAACCCTGGGCCTCACATGTGCTAGGTAAGCACTCTACCACTGAACTACAACCCCAGTCCCAGCTCTCTGTTTTTTACATGTTCCTCAAAGAAACAAACATAAATCACCATACTGATCTATCTGTAGTTGAGGCGACAGTACAGTAGAGTGAGAGACAATAATAAAGGTGAGAAGAAGGTAATTAAAGACCCAAGGTTGAGCTCTACGCACAAACTATTATTATATTTTATATTATACCAATTAGATGAAGGTCCCTCCCCGCATTGCTCTAAATGTCATCAACCAGCTTGTTTTGGAAACACAGTTTTGAGAACCATGTGGTTCCAGGACTGTATCCGGATGAAGTTGATGGGACTCAAGTTACTATGAAGAAGACAAATTATTGTTGTGGGGTAGGAATATGAGACTACAGCAGCTGATACTACCTAGACAGCCATGATACACAGGTAGGATTCATAAGGACTGTATCAGGGCATGGCAGCGCATGCCTATAGTCCCAGCAGCTTAGGTGGCTGAGGCAGGAGGATCATGAGTTCAAAGCCAGCCTCAGCAACTTAGTGAGAACCTAAGCAACTCACTTTCTCTAAATGAAATTCAAAAAAAGGCTGGGCAAATGGCTCAGTGGTTAATTGCCTCTGGGTTCAATACCAGCACCTAAATAAATAAATAATAAAAGACTGTAGTATGTGGGCTGGGGCTGCAGCTCAGTGACACAGCGCTTGCCTTGCACATGTGAGACATGGGTTCAATCCTCAGCACCACATATAAATAAATAAATAGAAAAACAGAGAGATAAATAAATATTTTTTTTAAAAAAAGACTGTAGAATGTGAGTTGTTTTGAAAGAAATTCTATGGGATTGTTCCTCTTCTGTTATATGTAAACATCATATTTTCCAAATGAAAGATTAAAAATAAAATTTGCTTTAAAAATGGGATTGACTTATTGTTTTAGGATGTAAAAATCCTAGACAAGGACTCATAGTGAATCACAATGGTACCTCCTTTTGGGTTCCCCTTTATTCAAAACCCCTTTAAAAAAATTTTTTTTTAGTTGTTGACAGACTTTTATTTTATTTATTAATATGTGGTGCTGAGAATCCAACCTAGTGTCTCACACATGCCAGGCAAGTGCGCTACTGCTGAGCCCCAGCCCCAGCCCTCTCCAAAACCTCTTAAAGTGATGGGTGAGGGGGTCATAGTCATTGAATGGATGGGATATAAGGAGATAGGATGTGGGGGGTGTTGTGCGAAGAGTGTACCTGACTTCCAGCCTGGTTTAGCCTCTGAGCAGATCACTCTGCTTTTCTGATCTAAGTTTCCTCACCAGTAAGATGACCTTTGAGAGACAGGAAAACATCTCTAAAACTTTTTCTAACCCTATCAGTTTAGGGTTCTGTTGAGTCTAACAAAAATTCATGTATTATTCTGGGTTTTAGATTACAATTTCCCTCAAAAACCAATTAATCTCATTTCCTCCTCTTCTTCCCAGCATAACTTGAATTTAAATTTGTAGTTTCAGCCAGGTGTAGTGGCATACAACTGCAGTCCTAGCAACTTGGGAGGCTGAGGCAGGATGAGTCCAAGTTTCAGGCCAGCCTCAGCAACTTAGCGAGATCCTGTCTCAAAAGAGTTGGGGATGTAGCTCATTGGTAAGCATCCCTGTGTTCAATCCCTAGTACCAAAGAACTAACAAACAAATAAATATGTAGTTTCAAAGGAACAGGGAAGATGGAGATGCTGAATGTCTGGCCATGTGGAGCTGCCTCAAGGAAGTTTCTCTACCCGAGCTGAACAGTCATTCCATACAAAGTTGATGAATATACATACTGCTTTCTTATTTTCCTTCAAATGGTTCCTTAAAATTAGGATTGCTCTAAAGTCTTCCTAATTGTCCTAAACCACACTGAGTCTTTCCATGTGGTCCTCTAATATAACTTCTGAGCAAGCAGTCTGGGTAAAAAAGGATTAGGTCAGCTCTCTTTGTGTGTCAGTGCTTGGCAGCACAGCTCCTCCTGGGACGTGTCTCCTGGCACCTACCCAGCCTAGGCTATCAACAATAAAAGCTTCTCTTTGTGCTTCCAGTAAGTTATAAATAATTCTCCTCCATCCCACCTGTTTTATGAGAAGAGCTTCACCCCTGTCTTTCACCTTGGGTTGAAAAAGAAATATGACAGATGTTTTAGGAAAATAATTTTTTAATTTCCACTAAATAATTGTCCCTTTTCATTGTTCCCTACTCACAATGTTTGGATGTGTAATTTGAGTTACAGTCCCTTCAGTTGCCAGGTTCTGAAGCTGACTGCTTCCCCACTTTATGCTAATTGCCTTTTGAAGCTGCCCAGCCCTAAGTAATCCTCTTGTATACAGAGCATTAGTTGAGGAAAGAAGGACTCATTTTCTGAGCACCAGGGAAGATGCACCCTCCGCTGAGGCAACATCACACAGGGGCCATAGCTTCAGGAACTCTAATAACTATTCCCCAAAGGTGAGAAGGCCAGACTGTTGTCCTTTGGGGGAATGCCAGGCACCAGGCTGGCACTAAAGGAAGAGCAAAATAGAGTTCCTGTTTAGTCAAAGAAAATAGTTACCCTCAGTTGCAGTCCAAACTGGCTGGATTTCCTTAACACCTCTCATCCAAAACCTTCTTGAAACATCAGGCCTCATATTACTGTTCTGAGGTAAACATTAAATCGTATTTTCCAGCAAGCTGTTGAATGAGGTCAAGCCCATTGCTCTCTGCTGCAGTCAATGCTGGAATGAAAGAATCTGCTGAATTCATCCTTAAAACTGCATAAATGAGTCATTTCTGCTGATTCATCACTGAGTTCCTATGAGCAACATCTTTCCTGAGGCATTAAAAATTGAAGAAGGAATCTTTCCTTCTCACATGCTACTGGCCATGAAAGAGATCCAGAAGGACCAGAAGTGATCATTACCAAATAAAGTCTTCCACTTAACTTTGATCCCTATAAAGGAAAATAGACTCCAGTGTTTGTATTTTACTTGTCTATGATACTAAACTCTGCAAGTGAATTTTGCACATAATGAAAATTTTTTTAAATACACATAATGATTGAAGTAATAAAAACTTTCAAAAGAGAACCAATATCCATGAGCCCACTACCATCTCAATAACTAGAACACTGCAAGCTCATGGTGTTCTCTTGCTTCCTCCTCTGTGGCATCCCTGTCTCCCCCACAGATGAATGCATTTATTACTCTTTTTCTTTTCTTTTCTTTCTATTTATTTATTTATTTATTTATGTGGGGGAGGTACAGGGAATTGAACCCAGAGGTACTTAACCACTGAGCCAAATCCCCATCCCTTTTTTTATATTTTATTTAGAAACAGGGTCTTGCTGAGTTGCTTAGGGCTTGCTAAATTGTTGATACTAGCTTTGAACTTGTGATCTTCTTGCCTCAGCCTCCCTAGCCACTGGGATTACAGGTGTGTGCCACAGCACTCAGCTTTCCATATTTTTTTATTGGTGAATTATAGTTGTATGTAATGATGGGGTTTATTATATTGTTATATTATATAACAATATAATTTGGCCAGTATCACCAGTACTTTTTACCTCTCTCCCTCCCTTCCTTTCATCACCTTCTTCCTTGCTTTTTTAATAGTTTTACTATATATATATATATATATATATATATATATATATAACCCTTGACAAAAGTGTTAAGTTTTGTTTATTATCTATATAAGTTGGTTAGGGGGCTGGGGATGTGGCTCAAGCGGTAGCGCGCTTGCTTGGCATGCGTGCGGCCCGGGTTCGATCCTCAGCACCACATACAAAGATGTTGTGTCCGCCGAGAACTAAAAAATAAATATTAAAAAAAAATTCTCTCTCTCTTTCTTTAAAAAAAAAAAACTCTAAACAAAATTACTAAATTGTGTACATAAACATCAGAGAATAAAACTAAAAAAATAAATGTACCATTAAAAAAAAATAAGTTGGTTAGGGTTGCCATAACAAAGTATAACCAAGTGCTCTGAATAATAGAAATGTATTGTCTCACAGTTCTGGAGACTAGAAGTCTGAAATCACAGTGTCAGCAGGGCTGGTTCCTTCTAAGGGCAATGAGGGAAGAATATGTTCCAGGCCCCTGTCCTTAGCTTATAGATGGCTATTTATTTATTTAGCATCAGGGATAGAACCTAGGGGCACTTAGCCACTGAGCCACATCCCTAACTTTTTTATCTTTTATTTAAAGTAGGCTCTCACTGGGCTGCGGTTGTGGCTCAGTGGTGGAGTGCTTGCCTAGCATGTGTGACATACTGGGTTCAATTCTTGGCACCACATACAAATAAATTAAAATTCATCAACAACGAATATAAATATTTTTTTAAAAGTAGGCTCTTACTAAGTTGTTTAGTGCCTTGCTATATTACTAGGCTAGCCCTGAACTTGTGATCTTCCTGCCTCATCTTCCTGAGTCATTAGGATTACAGGCCTTCCAGCAACATAGGAGATTTCTGTGAAGAGATGTGTACTAGGGATTGCACCCAGGAGTGTTCCATTACTGTTATATCCCTAGCCCTTTTTATTTTTGAGTCAGGGTCTTACTAAATTGCCTGGGCTGGTTTCAAATTTGTGGTTCTCTTGTCTCAGTCTTTCCAGTAGCTGGGATTACAGCAAGGCACCACCATGCCCAGTTTGTTTTCCCCTTTTTATAAGGACACCTTTCATATTGAATTAGTGTTCACTTCAATGACTTCATTTTAACTTGATTCCTTCTGTAAAAACTCTTGTCTCCAGATAAGGTCACACTTGAGCTATTGAGGGTAAGGATTTCAACATATGAATTTTAAAGGAAACAATTCAAACCATAAGATTGTCACAAATAGGATTCTCAATATTTTGATTAAAAAAAGAAAAAATAAGGTTCTCAGAAAAGCAGACAGTAAAATGGAGTTCAGCATATACAGTATTTATTAAGGCGTATCCTTAGGATCAATATCTCGGGGAAGAAGGAAAAGGACACAGAACATAGGCAGAGGGAAAGTTATGTGACGCAGGCCCAACAACTACTTTAGCTGACCCCACAGGGAATCTGAAGCAACAGTGGTCCTTCAGAGTTGTGTCAAGTTGGGCCAAGATGGATAGGCCTTTATACAACCACATAAATCAGTGACTGAACTTGGTGATTGCTTGCCCAATGCAGTTCTTTGCAGCTTAGGCAGTCTCTGAAGGGGCTGACAGCTGAAAACATCTGCCAGAAGCACTTCAGCAGCCAGGCAGCAAGTCCCTGAGTAAAAAGAGATATAGACAGTGAATCAAAGTGTCTATGATGCTAGCTTTGAATTGTGGAAAAATGGAGGCTCGTTATATGTCTTCTGTAACTTGGTTTTCAAAAAATTTTATGCAGACATTCAGAAACCCTCAAAAGTAAAATAATACAGTTAACCCTCATATACTCATCATCTAGATTCACCAATTACCAAAAATTTGCAACATTGATTCATTTCTCTCTCTCTCTCTCTCTCTCTCTGTAACACGGATTAAACCCAGTGGTGCTTAATCACTGAGCAATATCCCCAGCCCTTTTTTAATATTTTATTTAGAGAAAGGGTCTTGCTTCGGGACCTTGATAAGTTGCTGAGGCTGGTTTTGAACTTGTGGTCCTCTTGCCTTGCCCCCCTGGGCCACTGGGATTACAGGCATGTGCTACCAGGCCCAGCTTGCCTCTCTTTTTGTTATTTCAAATCATATTTTATGTTATTTCAGCACTATATGCTTCAATTTTATGTATGTATGTATGTATGTATGTATTGGGGATTGAACCCAGGAGGGATCTACCACTGAGCTACAACCCCAGCCCTTTTTATTTTTATTTTGAGGTAAGTCTTGCTAAGTTGCACAAGCTGCTCTCAAACTTGGAATTCTTCTGCCTTAGCTTTCCTAGTAGCCAAAATTACAGGTATGTACCCTTTGCATCACAGTGCAGCCTACATACTTCAGTATTTATTGTTAATAATCATGAACATTTTTTTTACATAACATCTACATCATTATCACATCTAATAAATTAACAACAATTCTTTGGTCTATGTTTAAATTTCCCTAATTATTTACTTATTGATTTATTTTATGACACTGAGGATTGAACTCAGAAGCCCTGTACCACTGAGGGCACACCCCAGTAATCGTCGTTGTTGTTGTTGTTATTATTATAATTATTATTTGGTACCAAGGATTGAACCCAGGTGTGCTTAACCACTGAGTCAAATAAAAAATAAATAAAAAATAAAAAAATTTTTAATTTTTAATTTAGAGACAGGTCTCTGCTAAATAGCTTAGAGCCTCAGTAAATTGCCGAGGCTGGCTTTGAACTTTCAATCTTCTTGCTTCAGTCTCCCAAACCACTGGGATTAAAAGGAGCGCCTGATCCCATTTCTTTTTAAGCATTAACTCATCTTTCATCTCTGTTCCTTTCCATTCCATATTCCATGTTAGGAAATATTAGTAGGTAAATTTCATTAAATGATTATAGATTATTGCTGAAAATATCTCTGAAATAGTGGAAAGAGTATGAATCCTAAGTTTAGATATATTCAAATCAAGAACTTTTGTGGGTTTCTGTCTTATGTGACAATATCTATTCCACATAGTTGTATAGATTAAATAAGGTAATAGATGTGAAACTCTTTGTAAACAATAAGGCACTATACTAGTCAACATTACTAGTCAAAAGCATTGGGAAAACACTGAATTAGTGGTACTATATTTTCTTTTTTAAAAAAAATCACTAGACGCTAACTAAATGTACATCTTGATATGTACTTCTAAGAGTCGTAGTGAAGAATAAATGAGTTAATACAATTAAAATGCTTAGAACAAAGACTGACATATAGTAATAACTTAAGAAATGTTAACTATTTTCCCTTTTTTAACAGACATTTTACTTTTACTTTTTTTTTTTTATAACTTTTTATTTATTTATTTATTTATTTATTTATTCATTTTTATGAGGTGCTGAGGATCGAACCCGGGGCCTTGCACATGCGAGCAAGTGCTCTACCACTGAGCCCCAGCCCCAGCCCCAGCCCCAGCCCCAATGTTAACTATTTTCATAGATATCTTCAAATCATTTAGCTATAGGAGTCAGAATTTTTAAATACCATTTTTCAAATAATTACCATTCGAAGTCAAATCATAAGACTTCTCATATGCAGAGACAAAGCCAATTGATTGTTAATAAAGATTCTTTAGCTGATATCCCAGAATCCAAATGCTACCCATAGATACTTTAATGAGAAACATGTGCTGTCCCTGTGTTATGATTTAGGCATGAGGTGTTCCCCACAAGGTCATGTATGAGAAAATGCAAGAAAGTTTAGAGGTGAAATGTTGAATTATGAGTCTTAACCTGATCAGTTCATTAATATACTTGATGGATTAACTGGATGGTAACTGTGGGCAGGTAGGGAGTGGCTGGAGGAGTAGGAGCACTGGGTATGCCTTTTGGGTATATATATTTTGTCTCTGGTGAAAGGAGATCACTCACTCTCTGCTTCCTAGTGGCCATGACCTGACCTGCTTTCCTCCAACACACTCTTCTGCCATGATGTTTGGCCTCACCTCAGGCCCAGAGCAATGGAGCTGACTGTGGACTGAAACCTCTGAAACCATGAGCACCAAATATTTTTTTTCTCCTTTAACATTGTTCTTGTCAGGCCTATTGGTCTCAGTGGAGGAAAAATTGACTAAAACACCCTGCAACCTACATTGTATCTTCTCTGGTAAGACACTCCCAGATATAGAAAACCTTCTGAGAAGACCTGTATCATATTACAGCTTGTTCTGTGTTAAATGGTGAACACAATTTTTATTAAGGCTGGTGCTTGAAGGTTTATGTTTACTTCCTTGCTTAATAATACTTGTATTAGCACACTTCACTAAGCAAATGACTTCCTTCATTTATATGATATACAAAGTCCAGCAATATGATGCCAAGTGACACAAAGATAGATGACTTTTCACTGAAGTTATACTGTTGACACACTTTTTAAAAAATATATTTATTTAGTTGTAGATGAACATACACTATCTTTATTTATTTTTATGTGGTGCTGAGGATCGAACCTAGTGCCCCACACATAAGAGGCAAGCACTTTACCACTGAGCTGCAGCCCCAGCCACAACACACCATTTTTTAAGAACCCCTCTCCTAGTGATTTTCTAACAAGTGATTAACAAGTAGCAATGAGAAAGGGAGGGGAACAGAGGCTTGATTTGTAGCATTTATGAATTTCCATGGTGCAAATTTCCATCATGGTCAAATTCAAGACACCAATGTGATGTCACTGAACATAGAATTGGGAATAGGTACATAAGGTTGGTTCTCAAAAACACAATCAGGGCAGGGATTGTCGCTCTGTGGTAGAGTACTTGTCTGTTACACATAAGGTACTGGCTTCAATCCTCAGCACATCATAAAAAAAAATAAATATACTGTGTCCATCTTCAAGTAAATATATATGTATATATACACACATATGTGTGTATATATATATATATATATATATATATATATATATATAACTTACAATCAAGCTCTAGCATTAATTACCTGTATGTGACTATTTCCTGTTTTCTGCCCAGTGTGCATGTAAGAAGAAAAGTATTTTTAAAAAATATTTTCATTAGATTTTAATGGACCTTTATTTTATTTATTTATTTATATGTGGTGCTGAGAATTGAACCCAGTGTCTCATGCATGCTAGGCAAGTGCTCTACCACTGAGCCACAACCCCGGCCCAAAAAGTATTTTTTTTTAATTTAAATTTTTTTAGTTGTTGATAGACCCTTATTTATTTTATTTTTTATTTATACAGTGGTGCTGAGAATTGAACCCAGTGTCTCACACATGCCAGGCAAGTGTGCTACCACTGAGCCCCAGTCCCAGCCCCAATAAGAAAAGTTTTTTTAAAAATTATATATATATCAACTACTCAGGAAGGAGGCAGAGGCAGGAGGATCATAAGTTCAAGGCCAAACTGGGCAATGTAATGAGATCTTGTCACAAAATATAAAAATAAAAAGGGTTGGCGATATAGCTCAGTGTACAAAGCCCTTGGTTCAATCTCCAGTACTTCCAGAAAATTAAAAAATTAAATCTGTCTTTGTTCTAAATATATCAACTAAATGAACTTTTTAATCATGCAAAGGAAATGCAAGGATTTTATTCTGAAATGAAGATTTTGATTCAGTGTGGCTCTCAGACACTGAACTAAGCTCTGGTTAATGTAAAACACTGTAGTCCTTCAGACTAATCTTTTTAAAAAATATTCTTTCTAAATTATAATTTAGACCACATGGTCACTCCTTCCCCCAAATGATCTCTTGTTCTTATTCAATAAAGAAAGGAGGAGAGGAGAGGAGATGAATGCAGGGTGACTCCAGGGGCAAATAACTGTCTAAAAAAAAAAAACCCAAAACCTATCAGGTTGACTAAACTAGGATTTCTTTTTTTTTGGGGGGGGCAGGGTACATGGGATTAAACTCGGGGTACTTGACCACTGAGCCACATCCCTAGCCCTATTTTGTATTTTGTATAGAGGCAGGGTTTCACCGAGTTGCTTAGTGCCTCTCTTTTGCTGAGGATGGCTTTGAACTCGCAATCCTCCTGTCTTAGCCTCCTGAGCCACTGGGATAAACAGGCGTTATGAACTAGGATTTCTGAGCCCAGTAGGAGCCATCCATCTATAGATCCCACAGGGTGTTATTCCAGATTGAATAACCTAGATTTGAGGAAATCCAGGGAGGTAGAATTTTTGGACTGTAAAGGATTATCCTGGTAGGGTTCTTTGGAAGGCCAACCTTAGACTAAGCAGACATTTTGGCACCATCCCATCCTATAAAGTAATAGAGGGATTCCACAGCCTGTGCTCTTCACCTTGATACAATATTGTACTACACAATATATTTTCATATTGAAAACATTCTTCCTTAAACAAAACAGAATAATTGTTGAGAGTTAAAAACTGAAGCCAGACAGAAGCAGGTTTAAATGTTTGCTTTGCCATTTATTAGTTGTAAGAGACTTTGGGCATATTATTTAACTTCTCTGAACCTGTTTCCTCAACTGAGGAAAATAGTGAATACAACTGTACCTATCTCCTAGAATTATTTTGAGAATTAAATTAGATAATAAATCTTAAGTACTTAACCTTCATTAGGTATTCCTAATATTCAGAACAATCAGACTTTCTTTTGGAGTCTAGGCGCCAGACATAAGTATATGTT